TAAAGGGATAGTTCACTTAAAATGAAAATTGTGTTATCTTTAGCTCTCTCAAGTTGTTCAAAACCTGAATGACTTTATTTCTACTCCAGAATACAAACGAAAGCATTTCAAAAAATGTCTGTGGGGTTTTAATTGCAGTGTTATTTTAGTATTATTTAAATACTATTACTATTGAGTCATAACTTATTGAGTTATCAGTAATTATTTATATACTTTTACTACATACTACATGAATTAATATTTTAAATCAACCTTAATTTTTATATTTTGAGTTTAAAAAAAAAGTTTCAGTAATTTTGTTCTGTGATTGTCATTTTCAGTAGTTTTGTATTGATTTTGTATTGTATTAACTTTAATTAATTTAAATTTAAATTTTAGTTTTAGTAATTTTAGTACTCTAAATTAACCTTATTTATTTTAGTACATTTATTTATTGATCTAATTTTTGTATCAATTTTAATTAAATATTTATATTGTATTTTATTTCATATCAGTTTTATTTTAATTAAAAAATGTATATTTTTTGTTTTTAGCTTTAGTTAACAATAACAACATTGATTTTATTTGTTAGTTTTTTTGTCTGTACAATGAAAATTGATGAGGTTCAGAATTATTTTGTACGTTTTTAAAGTTTAGGTTTATCATTGAATATATTTTATTTTGTTTCAGCTTTTTTTTAAATAACAATTTTTTTTTATAAATATTCTTTGTTTTTAGTTTACAATAACAACATTGTATTATTGTCTATACAGTAAAAAGTCTATGTGGTTCAGTGTTATTTTGGACCCCATTGACTTTCGTTATATGGACAGTTGGAATATTGGAATATTCTTCAAAATATCCTCTGTGTTCCTCAGAAGAAATAAAGTCATATGGGTTTGGTTTCTATCATTAAACAAAGCTGGAAATCCATTCATATCAATGTGTCTGGAGCATCACAAAGGCTTATTCCCACTTAATTCCCAGTCCATTTATATTCCCACCTGATTCCCAGTTCTTTCAACACCCTCAAAACTCATTTTACTCATTCCTATCCTGCAAAAAAAACTCATTTGAAGTGTGTAACCGAGAGCATTAGCAAATTAGACAATATATATATATATATATATATAATGAACAGTGTTGGGCAAGTTACTTCCAAAATGTAATACATTATATATTACTAGTTACTGTCTTTTGAAAGTAATTAGTTACATTACAAAACTTGCGTTACTGAGATTGTAACGAGTAATAATATTACCCAAATTTGATTAGTAATGCGTTATATTACTGCGTTACAGCAAAAAGTAATATACTACTGTAATATTATTACTTTTGTAATGCGTTACTCCCAACACTGATAATGAATGAACATACAATATGCATAGCATGCACTGAATGCAGATTCTGCAGATGTCTGTGGAGATTCTGTTCAAGACCAAGCAAAGCATGAACCAATCCACTTGGAGCTGCATATTGTAAACTTTTTGAAGGTGTCTTGTCAGCACTGTTCAACTTTGAAGGTTTCGAACGTGTTGTTGCTCTAAGCCAAACAAGCTGTAAAAGGCCAAAAAAACAAAATCAAGGAGCGTTAGTCAGTCATAATGGCCCTAAGAGATTGTCTACATAACAGTGTGATAGCATGCCACCCGAGGGTCAGTCGGAGACCAGTGTGGGATTTCTGCATGAACATGAATGAGGGTTTGCTGTTCTCGCTCCCAGTGCTGGATAACAGAACATGCATCGGAGGAAAGTGTTCACCAGAGATCATTATCTCTGCGACGCCTCTCCATATAAACAGACATAAACGCTGAGACTCACCCACGCTAACACTTTCCCACAATTCTAGTGATTGGAGCAGTTTGTGTAAACAACAGATTATTTTTCTTCCTCATTTTTGGCAGTCTTTATAACTTTCAAAACCTGTAGAGACAGACGTTCTGAACTACATTGCCTCAAAACCTGGAATTTAAAAAATAAACAACCATTATTCTGTGGCACAGGAAAAGGCAACAGTCAGTTATTTGCCTTTGGAAAGAAACATCTGGAAAACATGAGGATCGTACGCACAAAGACTAATGCTGTCTTCATGTCCTCCTCCTGGGATGTTCCTAATGAATGTTTGAAAATCATAATTATGACATTATGTGCGCTTAAGTGATTATGGTCAGAAAAAAACTGACAAATTTCATATTTCACTCCCTTGACAAACACAGGAAGCTTTTTAGCACTAGACCAACAAGATATCAAAGAATGTGCATCACGTGTGTATTTAATGCTTTATCTGTGTATTTTATCATTCTTGTGTTGCAACCGAGAATTATGGGAAGGTACAATAAAATTCATAAAAATGTGCAGTAAAGCAATAAAACTAGGTGGTCATTGGTACTGATCAAAATGATCTGATTATATTAAATGTCATAATACTTATATAATAATATAAAATGTACACTGAAGTGTAAAAATATAAATATAATAAATATATACATATATTTTTTGTTATTGTTAAAATCCAATATTTCGAATTAGCCTAATATGTAATTAATAAAAAACAATACAAATGTTATTAAAATGTGTTTTTATGTTTATTTCTATTTTAATATTGTAATAATATTTATAAATGTATAAAATACATACATAATGTATAAATACATAAAGTATGTATATAAGTCTATATAATAAACATAATTCTAAAAAAACTAAAATGCATTATTTAATTAAATTAACTATAAATGTATTGAATATATGGATTATTCCGACATGACTAGAAGGCAGCATAACGCACAAAAATGGCACATCCCCGACAACAAGTGATCAGAAACGCATTTACAAGTCAGATATCCATGCTCTCCACTCCATCTCTGCTACACCCACACATGGCTATATTAACATCCCAATAGAGAAAAAGCATATCATGCCTTTATTAAAAGATGTTCTTGGGCTGTCTCTGGTTAGTGTAAAATGAGATTGTGGGCTTATCACGTGAGTCATACTACTAGAGTTAGCAACTGTATCTGTGGTAACAGTACCTGAGGGCAATGGTGATGATTTCAGCAATTACTGAGGTGAGGTGAAGGCTTAGAGACAGAATAACTCTGCTGTTTTTGCCATTAGCCATGATGAAGCCACGGTGCTTATGTTACCAGGCTAATCATCGCTGTTGCAAAACAACATTAATCGCTGCACTCCCACGAGTACGCGGCTAGTGCAATGTTCTTGAAGGAACGCTGTAGTGGTAGTTAATGGTGTTTGCCAAGACAAATATCACTATTACCACTGATTATACTTAGCTATGTCTAATCCCATAGACTTGAATAAGGGAGGGACCTGAGCCATATCTACAGACCACAATATCAGAGAGAATTAAGGGTGGCCTCTTTTGACTTAAGTCTGTAAATTATACCTATAAACCACCCAATACATTTAATTAAAAAATTATATTTAATAATATTCAATGTACAGTAGGGCTAGTTCAATTTTCATTATGCTAAAAACAAGAGCACTAGACAAAGTTATCATCAATATTTTAGCGATGGTTATTAATGAAAACTATAACAGTAATAAGTGTTGTTGCATGAATAATAAACAACTGAAAAAATTATCCACCCCAAACTATAGTAAAGTAGCCTGTTAACAAATGTTGACGCACTAAATATGGTATGATTTAAAAATGATCATCCCTTCTCCAAAACAGAGAAAACATCTTTCACAATCACAAACATCTACATGTCTGTCTCTTTTAAAGTGCTTGAGGGAACATTTAAGAATCAGCGTGTCTGACGGCCTTGCAGCAGGACGGAGGAGCCGCGACCTTCTGGAACCGCGAGTTAAAGGTCGCAGGAGGTCATTCCGCTAACGAGATTTACAGCGTAACAAGAGCGCCTCCAAAATCAACCTGAGCCACTCGTGACCCTCAAAAACCAGCCTGCTCCAATCAACCATCAATCAAAGAATCAAATATTTCTGGAGAAACCTGAAAATATGCATCTGCCCCCATCCAACCTGACAGAGCTTGAGAAGTGAACAGGTGAGGTGAAGAAAGGCAGATAATTGCCAAATGCTGATAAACAAAGCTTGTCGCATCATACCCAAAAATACTTGAGGCTGTTAAGGTGCTTCAGCTAAGTAATGAGTTACTTATACTTATGCAATGTACTTATTTCAGTTTTTTATTTTGAATAAATTTACAAAGTTGTGACAGTTCTGTTTTTGCTTTGTCATTATGGTGTATGGAGTGTAGATTGATGAAGGAAATAAAGTAATTTAAAGCAGTTTAACATAAGGCTGCAACATAACAAAACGTGAAATAAATGAAGGCACTGTATACCAATCAAATATTTCTGGAGAAACCTGAAAATGTGCATCTGCCCCCATCCAACCTGACAGAGCTTGAGAGGTGAAGAGGTGAGGAGAAGAATGACAGATAATTGCCAAATGCAGATGTGCAAAGCTTTTCGCATCACACCCAAAAAGGTTTGAGGCTGTAAAGGTGCTTCAACTAAGTACTGAGTTAAGGGTTTGAATACTTATGCAATGTACTTATTTCAGTATTTTTATTTTTAAGAAATTTACGAAGTTGTGACAATTCGGTTTTTGTTTTGTCATTATGGAGTGTAGATAGATGTGGGAAAAAAGTAATTTAAAGTAGTTTAACATAAGGCTGCAACATAACAAAACGTGAAATAAATGAAGGCACTGTATATATATATATATATAATGGGTAATCACTAAATGTGGAATGGGAAAAGTGGCTGATGTTGCTGAGCAGTGCGATTAAAATTAAAATGGTTATTTCTGTCAAGTAAAGTTGCATTGTGATGCAGTGATTATAATAGCCGCAATCTAGACGTATAATAGCATCCCATTTTGACGTGGTATGAGAACGCCTGAGCACATGTGAAAGGACTTGAGGATAGGATGAGAATGCTTGAGCTGCTCATTGTCAGGAACAGAAATTTTCCTTGGAAAAAAATGATCCGTTTCCTTAACCACATGGCAGCAGCAGCATTGAGCGCACTCACCAGTCTTGTAGATCTCGTAGCGCAGGGAGAAGCCGGCACCCTGGTGCACGTAATCAGACACAAACTTGATGTGGATGACAGGACCTGAGGAAATGATGGCAGGAGGAGCAATGTTACTGCAGTGCCTTCCCAGCAGGTCCGCGGACTCAGAATTCCCATCTCGGATCTCTATGAAGTCATACCTAGAAGCAAAAAACAGTACATGCATAAATGCTAGTTTTGGATTTGTTTGTTTGGCATACTTGTTTGGCAAAAAAAGCCAAAGTCTGCAACAGGAGTATTATAGTTAAAACTAAAATCTTTACCTGAAATAAAATAAACATGAACTAAAATAAAATGTTTATTTCGGATAGTTACAAAGACATTATTTCACATTTTTAATTTAGTTAAACGAATACAATAAATAAGCTAAAATAAAATAAAATACATAAAGATAGATAGATACTTCTCCTAAATTATTTACATCAGATAAAGTTGATATTTAAACATAACTAAGATCTCCATTAAGTCTCCCAAGCAATAAAAGAGGAACCTTTGAGCAATAAAAATGTTCCTCTGGGAAGGACAAACATTAAGAATGCAAGGAAGTGCAATGCAATATCTTCTGCAGCAATGAGTAACTGTGAAGGAACTGCTAGGAGTCGCTTTAATTTTAGCTGGGGTGACCTTTGACCCACAGTGGACTGCTGCCTTATAACAACAAACACACATTTTTTCATGTCACTTCAGAGAAAGACTGAAGGAGCTGAGACAATGACCACCTGTCCGGCCTAAATAATCCCTTAATGTGCGTTGCCCTCTTTTGCCAAAACACTTCACACACAATGTCTAAATGAGGCAAAAGACTCTCAAAAATCCAGCCGGTTGTCTGCATGAGTGCTTCCTTATAATAAATCTGGCCATAGAGAGGCATGAGTCAGGCTTCTTCTCACACCTCAGGAATGCTTGCCCCATTTAACCCCTAAACAAGAACAAGATCCCTGTAAACATACGTCATCATTCCCAACCTAACTGCTCTGGAGCACAACATGCCGACCAGACTTCTCTGTACTGAGAAAATGAATCTATGCGCCTTTAAAACTTACTTACTACAATGTAGGAGGCAAATAATTAGCTTCAAAATGTTCCAAGTTTAGTTTTAACTTAGTGTGAAACTCTTAAAAATAAAAATGAATATCATTTGAGAAGATGTTTCATAGCCTAATGCCAGCTGAATTCATTAAATTATTCTTTTGAAGCAATTCTATTAAATGATTCCGTTAAACTGATTCACAAAGCATTTTTAGAATTGGACTGTAAGGAATGACTTTGTTTAGGGGTAAAACTGTGAGATGGCAATAATAATAATTAATAATAGTTAACATTATTAAAAAATATTATTAATAATACTGGGAACAAATATTTTAATTATTTTTTAAAAAATATGGTTCAAAATAATAACCAACACATAATTTGACACTATACAAACAAATTGGAAACAGTGGTTTTATAGCATTTTACTATATTAAACATAAAACTGCACTGGGACTTATATATAGGCCATAAACTAATTTTGTTTTGTTTGTTTGTGGTTTTGTTTTGGATTTTGTTTTGTTTGTATTGTTTTGTTTTGTTTTGTTTTGTTTTGTTTCGTTTCGTTTTTTGTTTGTTTTGTTTTGTTTTGTTTTGATTTGTTTTGTTTTGTAAAGTGTGTAATCTATGCAAAGACAGACAATTAAAGGGGCAAAAGATGCCCTTCAGTGCCTCAAAGAATAAAAATCTGTGTTTCTGTCAGTTGAAGGTGCATCGCATCAAAAAGTCATTGAATCAAGTTCATTGAAACCCCTGAATGAAATGATTCAGTAAATGAATAAAACTTCAAAATGTTACTTGTGATTCTGTTGTTCTTTAGAAATCCATCACTGTACTAGTGCTTTAAAGTAGCCAAAAACCAAAACACTGATCTGAAAAATCTATAATGAAACACCAAGAACTTTTGCAGTCTCCAAAGAATCGTACAGAAACTCAAAAACACATTGATGTCAATGAATGTGTCTGTGCTTTCCCTACAAACCAGAATAGAATGAAGACATGATGTTTTGCCTTTTTTTTTTACTTATCCTTCCCAGTTAACTCTGAATTATCACTGGTTGAGCCGCATAACTGTTGGCTCCACGTCACTCAGGGAGCGTGTATGTGAAAACCTGACACGGCCCCGGGCCCCTCAGAATGACATAAAGAGGCAGGTGTCTCTGACTCTTCATTGCTGTGGACCCCACTGGCCGACCGCACACTTAGAGACTTCAGGTACAGCGGTGTATATTTAGACTACATACACATTCACAAACAAACTTACATATCCATGTAAAGCATCAGAAATCCTTCTAATGACTTCTATTGAATCATTTTAACTCTGAGAACAAACCTAGACTAGGCAAAACAGGTCAAAATCTGATATCTCAATCATTTTCAGGCATTTGAAATGATTATTAATACAAATATTACTATAAAAGTTTTTTTTATTAGGAAAGGAAATAATTTACTTTTACATTAAACAAATACTTTTAATTTAGAGAACACTCTTAGACTAGGAGAAATGTAAAAAAATAAATAAAAAATGCCATCTCAATATTTTCAGACGTTTGATGATATTATTAATATAAATATTATGAAAAAAAAGGTTTTTTTCCCATTTTAGGGAAAAAATGTGATGATATTATATGTTTTCGACATTGTTTTTTACTGAATGAACACAAGAAAGAATATTTCACTATTTTTATTTATATTCACCATTTATATCCACCAGCATTAGAAGCAACATATACTGTATTTTTACTGAATTATTTAAATGCAGTGGTTTGGCAGTAACAAACCAGAGTTTTAAATCAATTAACTGTAACTGAACTGAACTAAACTGAACTGATTTGCATAAATGAATTGAACTTCTTCTACTGAATTTTCAATCATAGACATTAATTGGGGGACAAAGAAAAATAAATTTGCCTAACTTAGTGGCTTACTCAAAATCATCATGGTATTCACAATGTATTCAATATATTTAGGGACAGTTTTATTCTTAAAGCTACTGTACAAACTGTACTATAGGTAAAACCACACACACACATACACACAAAACTCTCACTCACTCACTTTCTTTCTGTGTCCATCTCACCTCAAACACTAGAAAAGCTGGGATGAAAGCTTGTAAACTGTATGCAAGTGTAATTAGGTTGTAATTGATTTTGTAGGGGCTCTTGGCTCCTGGATTAGCAGTGACAAGTGAGTGTGTCAAATGTGGATATTGAACATCTCTAGACGCCGCCACTTGGCTACGGTGCATTTCGAGATGCGCTTGAAAGTGGAAACAAACCAGGATGCCCATTGATCAACAGAAATGCCCGGATCACTTATTTACCTCACATAAAATACTTGTATCAATTTCACAACACTTGTGACTGAACGCAAGAAGCCTTTTCTCATTATCACAGCAATATAACATCGTTTTATAGGCGTAAAGCTCAAATTGCTTACTGCGGTGCAATAGAGCTGCGATTATGCACGCTAATTATGCACGATTCAATGGTTATTCAGGTGCTACAGGCGGTGATGAAAACTCCCCAGACAGCGGTATGTTTGTAAGTGTGAGCGGGGAAGAGAGGCTTGACACGATGAGGGCAAAGGCCCTGTGTCCCTGTCTCATGTTCAGACATGCCTTCCTCTCCAATCTCACTTTCTGTCTCCTCTCCCCTCCAGCATCTTCACTGCTAATTGCTTTTCACACCTACGGTGTTTTTCAAGCATTTTTTTCAGGCCTACACAGTCCCCCGAGGTGTCACTAGCTGCCCTAAAGAGCAGTTTGTCTGGAGAGAGGCACAGACAGACAGATACACAGGGGTACGGATGCTACTATCCATGTTTGTTTGTGCATATACAGTAATACAGCGTGTTTGTTTCTTGGTTCAAATGAAAAGAGATGTGCTGTAGTGACACTGGGCGTAACATAAGCCTGGACTCCACTAATCTCTGAACCGCCTGAAACCGACTACCTACACAATAAACAACCCTTCAGCATGTGTTTTTAAATCATAAGACCCTCTTGGCTTGCTAAAAATCACTGCTGAATCTTATATTTGGCTCAGGAGCCCATATGCACATATTGTAAATTACAGTGGATGCATAAAAATAGTAATATCAGGCATTGTGGAAACTGCTATAATAATGTGTTCTTCTATGTACCTTATAGCACCATAAAAATAACTAATGGTAGCCTGGTGCGATATACAAAGGGTAATTATAGATACCATGATATATATTTTAAAGTACCATGGTACTGCCATATTATGTGATCACTGAATGATGCTACTGATACAGTTCTTTATAAATTGACTTTTTAAAAAGAATCAAGTTTTAACTATGTTGCATAACATAACATAACATAACATAACATAATATAATATAAAGTATGACGCTTAAGAATCATAGTAATCAAATGATACCATGCCATGGTATTATCATTAAAAAATATATGTTTTTATATAAATTCTAAAATACTTTTTTTATATATACATATAGCAAGTAGCAAATTATGGTTCACTGATGTGGTGTAAACTAAAGTCTGTAACTTTTAGTGCTAGCAACACCAAAGTCATGGGTTAAATTTCAAGAGAAAGCAAGAACTGATAAAAAATGCTCAGAATGCAATGTAAGTTGGTTTTGGATAAAAGTGTCTGCCAAATGTAAACAATGTAACATGTAAAGTCTACTGGCTATTAGTAAAAAGGAACTGATATATCTTACCTAAGCTTTCTGTTTTATTATGAAACACATCAGTACAGGAACTAAAACTGATGTCGACAAGCCATTTCACATCTGCTTAGCTTAGCTTTAACTTAGCTGGAACCAAACAGCTATTATAGTCTGCGTAGCATATCTTTATTATCCTATGAAGATGTCCTGTAGCTCTATCTTTCTTAAACTCAGCTCAATGGCTTTTTCAGGATATAATTCTGTCTGACACACAATCACATTGGCTTTTCAATATCGAATAACACAATGGCCGCTCATTTGAATTCTGCCATGCTTTTAGGCCAGCAGCCGCAGGACGTGCTCCAGGACAGCTCGTCAACCGGCCAAGACACTAAAATTGAAATTAAATAATGCTGAGAGTCTGCATGGAAAGCCGCACGCTCGGCCCCCGGGGGGG